TCTGCTCCAGCCACCTTGTCAGGTCACTTGCTTTTCAAATCCATTTTCCTGCTCTAGCCTCACCTTCCCCAATCTTCCGTAGCGTCCCCATATTGGCTGATGCCTTCCTCTCTGGACAAAGTTCTCATCATCAACCAGTTTCTCACTTAGTGATGGAAGGCAGCAGAATTCCATCTGCGTTTTCTTGACCATTAATGACTAGGAGAAGTGCTGTCATGCCCGGTAGCCACTTGCCAACAAGGCCATCAAGAGGTAAAGCATCTGCCATGTTGGAGTTCTCCGTTGGAAGTCCTCTGGGATTTATACATTCATATACAGAGTAAGGAGGCCAGCTAATTTGAGTTTTGACTCCTGTGTAGTGACCTTTCATGCACATTGAAAATTTGCTATTCTTGAGAAAGTATGTTGTAGACCTCAGGTAATTTACAGTATCAAAGATTTGTCAGTATGCATTAAAACAATTATTTAAATTTATTATTATTTGTATTATTTTTAGCTCATACATTTTAGTGAATAACAAAAACAATAGTGTTTTCTACAATGTGTTCTTGCTAAAAATGTGCTTTTGTGTGATTGAGGAACATTTTGCAAAACAGTTGGTTTGGCTGCTTCAAAAATGTCAGTGCCATGAAAGAGTTTTAAAAGATTAGGGGCCCACTTAGGGAGGCTGAGGTGAGAGGACAGTCTGGGCAACATGGTGAGACCTCGACTCTGCAATAAATCAGAATATTAGCCAGACATGGTGGTGCGTGCCTGTACTTCCAGCTACTTGGGAGGCTGAGATAGAAGGATGTCTGGCAGGTTGCGGCTGCAATAGCCATGATCATGCCACTGCGCTCCATCCTGGGTTACGGTGAGATCCAACTCAAAAAATAAAAAATAAAAGGATTGGGAACAGTTCTCAATAGCAGGAGACTAAAGAACCATGAACACGTAGTGCAATGTCTGACGCTTGATTGGATTGTGGATTGTTAAAGGTCATTGCTTGTTTGGGGGCATTGGGAAAAGGTGTATGTGGACTGTACAGTAGACAATGATATCACTGGGTGCTGTGTGAACCCCAGCCACCTCAGTCTCCTGGACTCCAGCTCCATTGTGCTCACTAGAGTCCATAAGTCTCTGCCTGGACCTCCCCTCCCTGAATCATGGCCCAGACACGAGCAAAGCTGTGAGGTGGGGCAGCTCCATGCTCTTTTCATTATCTCCCACCTCCTGGAGATCGCTGTCCTTCATTGCCTGGTGTCCAATGTCTCGCAACTGTTGTGGCATCTATTTTATCTGTTTTTGTTGTTGTTTTAGGAAGGAGGTTAGGTTGGTCTCTCCTACTTCATGTTGGCCAGAAGCCAATCATATCCTTTAAATCTGTCTTATTTTGATGCAGAATCCAGCCAAAGATCATGCACTGCATGTCATGTCTTTGTTACCTTTCATCTAAAACATTTCTACCCTCTCTTTGGTTTTTCCTGACACTGGCACTTTTAAAGAGTCTAAAACAGTTGCCTTGTAAATTGTCCCCATAATATGGATTTGTCTGTTTCCTCTATGATTAGATTGAGGTTAAACATTTTTGGGAAGATTACTACATAGGTGATATATCCTTCTAATCTCATGACTTCAGGTGGCCCATAATGCTAAGTTTGATCACTTATTAAGGTGGCATCTTATATGTACCCCACATCTTTAAAATAAAATTTAAAAATTTTTTTAAAGGGGGGAAAAGATTGCCTCTTCCAGATATCTCCATTGTAGAGTTATTTTCCCCTTCATAATTAATAATCTGTGGGTGATGCTTTGAAATCAGTGAAGATCATGCTCTAGTGTCTTTTCACCCAACTGTGCATCAGTGGTAATCCTCTGAATCGATTATTACATTGGTGGCTACAAAATGACACTTTCTATCATTTTCTTCACTTACCAGCTGGCAGTTGTTCTATGAAAGAAGAGCCCCTCCCCCTTTCCTTCTGAGTATCACCGTGAGTTCAGGGGCTCTTGATTGTGTTGTGTCATATTATTATCGTTATTCTTCTGAATGCTTACATTGGTCAGTACAATCTCTGTTATTATTTAACTCTATCGTGCGGGTTAAACTTAAGCGCATTTTATACCCAGAATAATTTTCAACATTTACCACTACCAACAGGAACTGAGTTGGAGCTTATTTAGACTCTTCTTAGAAGTCCACATTCTTCCGTATACTCTCAACCTGAAGAGGGACTTCTGAGTTAGGGGGAGGTACTTATGGATTAAACCACAGATCAGTGTCGCGCAGGTCTAGTCCTGATCAACTTTATTCTAGGCCACCATGCACACCACCATACTTGCCCTCTGTTGGGCACCTCTGTTCTCCTTCCTATTGGCCATCGGGTTCCTACCCAACTGTCCAGACCAGACCATAGGCCTCAAGTCCATTTCGCCCAGCCCTGTGGTGGCCTTGCCTGCCTCTTTTACCTGCTCAGGTAACCCCTTTACCATTAATCAAATTCTCTGTGTTTCCATTTGTAGGATCCTGCCCATCCATGTGTGACCTGCTGCCTCTGCCAGATAAAATTCAGATTGAAATGATCTATAAGACAGTGAAGCTACATTGTGAGACATGTCCAACAAGCACCACACATTGTCGTGAGTCCAAACTGCCCAGTGATAAGTTGTTGAAGTTTTATTTGACTTATTTTTAAATTTTGGTTTGTAACCAATGATGATGCATTTTTAAGCTAAAGATGCAATTGCTTATGTTTATTCATTCATTCAGAGTTAAAGTTTCTAAATTTCTGAACACTCCCTTGCTGAAAGTCAGGTTCTTTGTTGTTATGACATGATTTGGTAATATAAGTGTTCCGTCTCCGTAAAGGACCAGGGGAAAGGATGGAAGGGCAGGTGAGTGACAGTGATGGCCACACACTGTGCTGTGCTCTCCACTGGGAGATTTGCTCCAGGGAGGAGGTGCTCAGATTGCACGGTGCGGTTTGTGAACTGGTTTTATATGCATGAGGTCTCAGGTGTCCTTGGAGGACAGGTATAGATAGGTCTGGGTTTGTTGGTTCTTACCACCTCCTAAAACAGTAGAAGCAGTTTATGGAATGAGAGTTTGTGGTTCTGTAACCACACATCACTACCTGGCTCTTCTAACGGCATGAAAGTTTTCTCCATTCTGGGACTGTCTGAACCCGTTCTGAATCTCAGCTTTTCTGTCCGCTGAACACACACTTGGGTGCTTCAGGTGTTTTTCTCGACATTAGTTTTATTGGCAGGAACTTCATGACTTCCAAAATGTGACTGTGTTCCCATCCAGACAGCTTGAACATGGGGCAAATAATAAGTAAAAACACTTTACTGCTATATTGCTTATTTTTCAAAACAATTTTCTTACAATTATATGATTTCCTTCTCCCCCAGAACAAGTATTTTTAAGCTCCTTTTACAGATGAGAAAAAGCAGGATCTGGCATGTGAAGTGCTGTGGCCTAGTGCCAGGTCGTCTGTCCAGTTCTGGGTTCTCCACAAGCCCACACTCCTCCTCTCTCATGGTCCTCACCTCCTCCTCTGACCCTCATCACCACCAAAAACACTTTTGATTCTGGAAAAGAAATGCTGCATGTGGTCCCTGTGACCTTTGTGCTACCAGAAGCTTTGAATGGTGCCCCAAGTAAAACTGGGCACATGAGAAATGAAATCAAAGCCACGTAGGCATCTGATAAAAGTTGCTTCTTCCCTTCTGCATTTTAGGACCTAAAGTTCTGTTTATCCAGAAACTCCACAGATACACTGACCTCTCCACATAGGCATACAAGCTGGCAAATTAAAAATTTCTCCACCTACACCTTGGGTCCCCGCCCGAACTTAAGGAAAGAACCAGGACGGACATAGTGATTTCTTCCCCTGTGGAGCCTTCTGGCATGAGGCCCAGGATAGATGGGACAGGGAACTGGGTGTGTGGCAGAGGAGGATGTACGTGTCACAGAGGGCCTATCGGCAGGGCGGTGGCGCCTCTGCGTCGGCGTCTCTGCCCTTGCTGCCCTCTGAGGCCATCTGACGTAGCGAGAGCACGGGCATGCCGGGAGCCTCGCGCTCCCTCTGTGTCCGAGGGAGGACAGCGCGGGTCAGGGCGTGAGGCAGGTCTGCAGTTAGGCTGGCTCAGCCGGGAGCACTCGTCTTCCACCTTGGCCACTGGGGCTCAGGGGGGCAATCCTAAAGAGAGTTACTGTATTTCTCACAATGAAATGTTCTGAGTAGGCAGCCACGTTTTCAAAAGATGTTGTTTCCTTCTGCTGTGCCATTTCCTAGGCTCAGGCTGGGATTCTGCTTCCCCTCTCTGGATGGCTCAGAGGCTTACTGACTCCTACTCTGTGCCTGGGATGTATGGCTGTGGACTGGCACGGGCCATCCCCTCATCTTTCGTGATCAAAGCAGTCTCTTTTATTTTTATATTATTCTAGGTTATTACTTTTAGATTCAAGGAGTCCATGTGCAGGTGTGTTACATGGGTACAGTGAGTGATGGGAGGTTTGGGCTTCTATGAAGTCCACTATGCAAATGGCATGCACAGTACCCAATAGGTGTGTTTCAGCCTTGTCCCCTGCCCTCCCTTTAAGGGTCCCCATAAAAAGTTCCCATCTTTGTGTCTTTGCATACCCAGTGTTTAGTTCCCACCTGTAAGTGACACAGTCTTCTGTTTCTGTGTTAACTCACAGAGAATAATGGCCTCCAGTGACATCCACATCGCTGCAGAGGGACAGCTGTGTAGTCTTCTGTGGTGGGCACGGACCACATTGTTTTAACTAGTCCACTGTTGATGGGTGCCTACGTTGGTTCCATGGTTTTCTGTTGTGAAGAGTGCGGTACTAAGCATGGAGTGCAGGTGTCTTTTTGGTAGAAGGATCTATGTTCCCTTGAGTATACACCCAGCAGGGGGGTTGCTGGGTCAAATGGCAAATCTATTGTTAGTTCTTTAAGTCATCTACAAACTGCTTTTCACAGTGGCTGAACTAGCTGACATTCCCATAACAGCGTGGGAGTGTTCTCTTTTCTGCACAGTCTCGCCATATCTATCATTTTTTAACTTTTTAAGAATAGCCATTCTGACTGGTATGAGATGTTATCTCATTATGGCTCTGGTTTGCATTTCCCTGATGATTACTGATGCTGAACATTTGTTCATCTGTCTGCTGGCTGCTTGTGTGTCTTCTTTTCAGAAGTGTCTGTTCACATCCTTTGCCTACTTTTTAATGGGGTTATTTGTTGTTTTCCTGTCAATTCATTTTAGCTCCTTATAGATTCTGGATATTAGGCCATTGTTGGATGCATAGTTTGTAAATATTTCCTCTCATTCTGTAGGTTGTCTGTTTACTCTGTTGATCATTTCTTTTGCTGTGCAGAAGCTCTTTAGTTTAATTAGGTCCCACTTGCCAATTTTGGTTTTTACTGCATTTGCTTCTTTTTTTTTTTTTGAGTCAGGGTCTCTCTCTGTTGCCCAGGCTGTCGTGCAGTGGCACAATCATGGCTCACCACAGCCTGGAACTCCTGGGCTCAGGCAATCCTTCTGCCTTAGCCTCCCAAGTAGCCAGGACTATAGGTGTTACCCAGCTAATTTATTTATTTATTTATTTTTGGAAGAGACAAAGTCTTGCTCTGTTTCCCAGGCTGATCTCAAAACTCATGGGCTCAAGTAATCCTCCCATCTTGGCCTCCCAAAGTGTTGGGATAACAGGCATGCACCACCATGCCCAACTTGCGTTTACTTTTGAGGACTTGGTCATATATTTGTTGCCTCGGCCGATGTCCAGAAAGAGTGTTTGGGGTTTTTTGTTTTTTTTTAAACTGTAGAGATGAGGTCTCACCAAGTTGCCCAGACTGGTCTTGAACACCTGGGCTCAGGCAGTCCTCTCGCTTCTGCCTCCCAAAATGTTAGGATTTCAGGCGTGAGGCACGGCACCCGGGCAGCAAGAGTGTTTCCTAGGATTTCTTCTAGGATTTTTATAGTTTGAGGTCTTATATGTAAGACTTTAATCCATCTTGAGTTCATGTTTGTACATGGAGAGAAGGGATTTGGTTTCCTTCTTCTGTGTATAGCCAGTTTTCCCAGCACTGTTTATTGAATAGGGTGTTCTTTCTCCAGTACTGATTTATTTATTTGTTTTTTTGGCTTTACCAAAGATCAGTTGGCTGTAGGTCAGCAGCTGTATTTCTGGGATTTGTATTCTGTTCCATTGGTCAATTTTTTTTTAACATGCTGTTTTGGTTACTGTGGCCTTGTAGTAAAGTTTGAAGTCTGGTAATATGATGGCTCCAGCTTTGTTCTTTTTGCTCAGGCATGATTTGGGTATTTAGGCTCTTTTTTCTTCCCTGTGAATTTGAGTCCTATTTTTTCTAGATCTGTGAAAAATGACGGAGGTCATTCAATAGGGATTGTGTTGACTCCGTAGCCAACTTGCTTTGGGCAGTATGATCCTCTTAATGATGGCGATTCCTCCAGTCCATGAGCATGGAATGTTTTCCACTGGCTCATGTCGGACTTCTATTTCTTCCAGCTGTGGTTGGTAGTACTCGCTGTAGAGAGCTGCACCTACTTTGTAGGATGCATTCCTAGGTATTTTTTTTCTCTGTGCTTCCTCTTGACAGTCGAAGAAACAGAGGGACCGTCCCTTCATGAAGATGCTGCAAGCCCGGAAGAAGCACACCAGCACTGAGCTCATTATTGAGCCAGAGACACCCTCAGACAAGAGGGTTGTCAAACAGACAGACATCATCAATAAGCAGCTGGACTTCAGTGATGAAAGCAATGTCATCAGTGCACTCAGTTACGTCTGGCCCTATTTTTCAATGGGTAACCTAGAGGATATGGAATCAACATTGTCACCATTCACTGAACTGCTTTTTTCAAAACTGCTTAATAAAGCTAAGCCCCCATCTTTTTGGCGAAACAATACATCCAACAAACCTCACAGAAATAGATTAAGGAGGTATTATATTCTTAAAAATTGGTTAGGTTCACTAACAAAAAAAAAATTGAGGCAGTCAAAAGGAAAATAGGAGCTGGTATGCTGATGCAGCCTGGCCCCTTAGGATATCAAAATTTTAAACACCAAAACTCTGCAGACCACCTGAAAACTGCCCAGCACAGGGAACCAGGCTGTGGAAGTCTCAGGGTATCAGGAAAAGGCTGCGGACCACGGGCGTAATCATCAAGGGGCCCAAGGGCATTAAGAAAAGGCATCTAAAGGAGACCCTTAAAGATCAGCTCATCAAGAGGCAACAGAGCACCCAGCCATCTGTGGAGGATGCTGCCATGGAAAGGAAGCGTGGGAGGCTGGCCCCAAGGGAGCCAGAATGGTCTCTCAGGGCGCAGAGGCCCCAGATGCTGGTGGGCAGCCCCTCTCACACCAAGCCCTCATCCACACAGGCACATAGGCTTTCTTCCCTAGGAAAGCAGATGGATGCTCCCCCAGCTGCCTCTGAAAAAGCCCTGTCTGGGGAGCGAAGGGAGTCCAAAACCTGATAGCACACCATCTTTATTTTGGAACAGACGCAGCAAAATCTCAAGTTATGCAGGATCCACTTGATCCACTTGTAGGTAAAACTCACTTCGAGGTGGTCCACAGAGCACCCAAGGCCAAGGTGAGTTGGAAGTTTGGGAAGGAAGGCTCATCTGGTCAACTGATGGTTGCCAAGAGGTCCCCACTCCCTGCAGTCCGGAACCGCATCAACTTGCCCTCGTGAGGGCTTGCGAACCCTTCCCAGGCCGACTCCACCATGCCTGCATTCAATGCCAGGTCACTCGTCAAACAGACCAATGACATGCAGCGGGAGGTCAGCCACCCGGGGCCCGATCTGCCCCCCACATCGCAGAGCTCCATGTACCCACTGCTCTTGTCCCCAGGGGACCAGTTTGAGAGTGAGCTAAACCAGCAACTGCAATGCCTCATCCCGGACAACAATGTGCGGAGGCTTGTTTCCCACATGATCAGGACCCTAAAGATGGACTGCTCCGAGAGCCACGTGCAGCTGCCCTGTGCCAAGCTCATCTCCCAGACGGGCCTCCTGATGAAGCTCCTCAGTGAGCAGGAGGCGAAGGTGGCCGAGGTGGAGTGGGACACGGAACAATGGAGGAACATCTACATCAGAGAGACCACTGAGGCCCAGAGCGAGCAGAAGGGCCAGGAGTTAGACAAGGTGAGGATGACCACAAACACAGAGGATGCCATGGAGGGAGAACCACATGGAGCCCGGGGCTCCGGCACCTCTCATCCTGGTCATGTAACTTTGACCATGACAGTGATCTCACACTTTGCTCATTTAGAGCATGAAGCAGACCCGATACACAAGACAAATTGCAGAAGGAAACGCTAGTAGTGCGACCATGTAACGCATTAGACTTGCTCTGTTATTTAAGATCCTATAGGCTCCCAACTTGGAAGAATGGGGTATTGAATAACTAGCTAGCGCCCTTTCCACTACTTTGTTTTTTAAAAATCTTGTTCTTTCCTTTTTTTAGCTCACTAAAGAAGTTCCAGGATATGGCTATCATAAAAAAACAATTGTGGCGATATCCGTTACTGTCATCTTCACAATTTTTATTTTAATCTTCTGTCTCATTGAGGTGAAGCACAACAATTAACTCAGATTTCCAGAATGAAATGCTGTCTTTCCTGCAGATTCAGAACCCACATGCTGAAAATCAAGGCCACTTTCCCACCTACTGGCACTTGACAATCCTCTCTAGTCCCCCAGACTAAGGAAAGCTTTGTTCTTTACTGCAAAGTATGTCCAGGGGATGTTTAAAGGAACTTTCCTCCCAGAGATCTCTATGGAACTGAAACCAAGTTAGCAAACCATGAGACTCTTTCCAAAAGCAAAGTTTAAGAAGGCCAGAGTATATATGACAGCAACATTTCTCCAACCCAAAACTATCTAACAATCTGGTGTACTTCCCAGTCATTCCCGATCTGCCACGGGTTTATTTCCCTGTTGCGGAGATGACGAGAGATGTATAATCTCCACCGTCTCGCAGCTGCCATCACCCTAGAAAAGGACACGGCCAAAGACAGAAGGGCCATCCCGTAGAGGAGTCAGAGTCACATAGCTCCTGCTTCTCTGGTGTTTGAGGCGCTGTCTAAGGGACCCAGGGAAAACATCTCGAGGTGTGTCCTGCTTACAGGAACTGTTTCTGGACCTTGCCTCTGTTTACCTTTTGCTCAGTTACATAATGGCAACCCCCGGGCTCAGGCAATCCACTCATCTCAGCCTCCCAAAGGCGTGGGATTACAGGCTGAGCCACCAACTCAAAAAAAAAAAAAAA